TGCTGTACACGCACGGTATCTCTGTGTTGGGACCGGTGACTAGATCGTAGTGTTCCCAAGTGGGGCGAACTAAAACTTAACAGAATGGCTAAATTATTTCAAAAACTATTTTTATTGCACGAATAGCGCTGCATAGTCATACTTACATTTAAGGTGCCATTTAGTAACTTCCTCGTAGAGGTTCGGGACTTCTCCGTTTGCTGTCTGAATGCCGGGCAGCCGTGTGAGGAAATCGTCAGCAACTTCATTGATAAACGGCAAATAATCAGCAACGATGTTTGGTCGCAAGATGTGGCTTTGGACCAGGCCACGCAGTGTGTGCCACTCTTCTCCGTTGCTGAAATAGGGATTTATAAAAAGTGACCGCTTTATGTCTGTTTCTGTTGGATCGGTCCATAAAAGCACAAACAAGACCACCCAAATAATTTGGAAAACTCAACAAAAAGGAGAATGTCTTAAATTAGCTCACAACCAAAAGAGTTGAAATTAAAGTTATAGATGCAATGTAACAACACAGAATACATTTCTTAATATTTTTTAATTTTTTTATTGCAATAAGGTACCCTAGGTAAACAACACCAGCTAAAACAAAACAAGTCACTTTCCATCGCTGAAATATCGGTTAAACGGTGTATTTGTCCTACCGGTACATATTAACTAGTACGGCATGCATTATCAAAGAATAATCATTTAGGCCTATTGAACTGCTTACAGATCGAGGGACATGATCTCATTGTCGAAAAACATGTTTTCATAATCCAGGATTCATAATGCAAAATTGGTTAAAGGGTTTAGAGTTCAGTGTAGGTGCCACTGGAATAGCGTTTTGATTGATTCATTTTAGTTCAAATTCAGTTATCGGGAAAGAAAAATAAACAAGAGGCTAGCCTATCCTGTATTTGAACGTCACGATAACGGCTGCAGACGTCCGTTATCACGTCATGTGATGAATGTGGTCTCAGATTTCACGATTTAACGTAAAGACCATAAAACAAACCTTCCAACTGATCATGAAAAGAATACTGCCACAATTGTTTATTACATGCAGGAGACACACAGCTTTTGATCAAGACATACATTTAGTTTATTTGAAGGGGGGTACATGTACCGCCGGCTTATTTTTAAATGAAGTAAACCTTATTTTGGTTTAAAATTTTAGAAAAAAATCGTGGGGCTTAACCCTTTTTAAAACCTATATACCCAGGCTCTATTTATATTGAAAATACTAATAATAAAAAGAAGTTACGTAACTCAATTTGAAGAAAGTCATGTTCCTGGCTTATTCTACACATTATAAACTAGTTAAAGGGGGTAATGTACTTTCTTACACGTTGCCAATGCCAGGCCCAATCCTTCTCCATCTTCTGTAGAACCCTAGTGGCGGAAACAATGGATAAACATCCGTCTGGACCTGGCTGTTACGCAGGACACCACAGATGTCGTCCAGGTGAAACAGGTGGACAAACGTGTCACCTGATCTCGTCTCCTTGACAACCGGGCCGTAATTGTCATGGAAAGACTTCAGGATTTCCCGCATTGTACGGTAATCATGAGTTCCTAATCAATAATAATAATAATAATAATAATAATAATAATAATGATGATGATGATGATAACGATAACGATACCTGATAATAGTGATCACCTTAACTCTTAAACTACGTGCTCTTAGACCCCGTTCCCATACCTAGATTGATTTAGCATCTCAAAGGGGTTTCTAGCTTTAAGCGACCCTGATGTCTGGCACGCCTATTGAAGCTGTTAAGGTTGGATTATCTATCGTTTAGCAGCTATTCATTAGGTGTGCCAGACATCTAAGCCGCTTAAACTGAAAGCAGTTTAGCGATAATCCTCTAGGAGTTGGGGCGATCCTGCTACATCGAGCGAGGTATGGGAATGGGGTCTTATGTTTTATGTACATGTAGTAACTGGTGCTAATTGCTTACACTGTATACCTGCATTTAATAAGGCCTTTTTATATAGTCTATGAAATATTTTCTATAGAAATATTTTTTCCTGAACCTTTGTCGGGGCACATAAAAAGATGATAATCATGTTACAGTGGTAATTTCATTTATATATTGTGTTGATCATAAGTTAATTGACAAAACATACAAAACACTCAATTCAACCAACCAAAGTCGCGGACTACGACCACAAGACCCTTCGACTTGTGCCCCTGATTTTCGGCAGACCTGGTGAAATCGAATACGAATAAGAAATGCCTGTCCAATTAAACCTCACACATATAGATTAGTATGATATATAGACCTATTTTTCACATGACCCAATTTTTGCTATTTTAATTCTAATGGGTTGCACATGTACAGCTGGATAAGACGCGTGAAGTATTGAATAATGGACAAAATGGAGGCGTCGATGAAAATGTTTAAAATAAAATATTTTGTTCTGTCTTTTTTTCCATGCACATTTGAACACATTTTGCTCCTAAAATATTGAACACAAGTGAAGAATTGTAAACATTACTTAGCGGCCAGAACAATTATAAGAGGAAAGAATAACAATAACCGTTAAATGAATTGCACAACCCGTATACAGGGTTGCTACTTAATATGGAATATTTTTTATAATTGTTATTTTTGAGTGCTGATTAAATTTTTTTGGCTTGAGTCATTAAAAAAGTATACCACTGAGTAATAAAAACATCCAGACTTCTGTTGTGAGATAATTTGGTCAATGATATCAAAACTGACATAAGATGCCATTTAAAAGAAAGGGACACCCCCAGAAAACCATATCAACAGTTTGATGTCAGTATTAACTTTAAGCTATGACGGGCAGTGATGTGTTACACAGTCAAAGAACTCACTACATTAAATCATGAAAAGTCAATAATTGTGGGTATGACCTCCAGCAGCCGCTTGCAGTGCCCTCATCCTACATGGCATACCCTGTAACACGTTTTTTAGAGTTTGGATGGGGATATCATTCCACGCAGTGATATTTGCCTGTCGCAGTTCATCACTATTTACCGGCCGATGACCATAGCTATTAATTCTGTGAGTTACTTTTGCCCAAGGTTAATCAATTGGGTTCATATCTGGAGAGTTTGCTGGCCAGGGCAGTTGCTGAACCCATTGGTTTCGAAGAAAAACAGTGATTCTGCGGCCTCGATGTGGGGTTGCGCAGTCGTCTTGGTACACAAAGTTGTTCCTGAAGATGGCTCTCACCAATCGAAGCATCGTTTGCTGTAGAATGTCTCTGTAGGAATCCTGGCTGAGGTTGCCTCTTAGAAAAACCAACTGGTTCTGGGCACCGACATGAAATCCTCCCCAAATAGAGACGTTACAATCCCCTGCTTGCACCCTAGGCAGTACACAATCATCGTTTTATGCCCGTCGTACACGTCGGTGGACATGGATTCGACCATCAACCCTAAAAAATCCATATCTGACCTCATCACTGAAATCGACGTGATTCTAGTGTTTTGGCTGCAAACGCGCGTGGTCCCCAGCCCATTGCAGACGTCGCTGTATATGGCCTGCTGTTAACAGTGGTTTCCCTACTGGCCTTCGTGCAAAATAACCGGCTTGCAGTAATCTCTTGTTCACGATTGACCTTGAAACGGGCGTTTGAATGACATTCTGCCTCTCTTTTCTGAGGACACTGGTTGTCTTTGTACGACAAGCACGGCGTCCTCTAAGGAGAAGGCGATCCTGTCTTCTTGGTGTGATACGCGGACACCCTGGTCGAGGTATTGGAGTAGGTGCCCCTGTTGCATCATTTCTTTGGATGACTTTACAAACGGTTCCTGATAAATGTTGAATTACCTGGCAATGGCTGTCCGTTTCTGGACATTTTCTCTGAGAGCAAGAGTCCCATAGTAAGCTGCGTTGCTTAGCTGTCGAACCATGTCTTCAATAAGGTACCTGTCAAGTTTCAG